CTGCTCCCCGCATCCCTCCGGGTTCCCCCATCCCACAGCCAGGGCTCCCACTCCTCCTGCAGCCCCAGATAAGGGATTATCACCCACAGCAGCACCGTGCCTCAGTTTCCCCATCCAAGGTATAGGGAGGAGTGACACCTTCCCACGTGACCCCTTTGGGGGGGGGGGGAACTCCCACCCCACCCCCCTTTTTTGGGTTCCCACTTCTGCTTTCAGGGTGTGGCTGTGGGTTCCCCCCCCCGGTGCCCCCACGTTGCTCCATCCCATTGCCCAACGTTGTGGGGCATTGCAAAAGGCTCAACTGGCATCTCTGTAGGGTGGGGGTGACACCTCTGTGTCACCGCGTCTGTGTGACAACACAGCGCCCAGAGACCCTACAATAACACAACTCCGAGAGACCCTACAATAACACAACTCTGAGAGACCCTACAATAACATGGCACTGAGAGACCCTACAATAACACAACTCCGAGAGACCCTACAATAACACAGCACTGGGAAACCTTCCAATAAAACGGTGCCAGAGTTCATACAGTAACACCTACAGCGCCTACAGACCCTATAACAACCCAATACCAGGAGACCCTACAATAACCCGGTGCCAAGAGACCCTACAATAACCCAGTGCTGAAAGATCCTACAATAACACAGCACTGGGTGATCCTACAATAATGCAGTGCTGAAAGACCCTACAATAACCCAGTGCTGGGAGACCCTACAATAATGCAGTGCTGAATGACCCTACAATAACCCAGTGCTGGGAGACCCTACAATAACCCAGTGCTGAAAGATCCTACAATAACCCAGCACTGGGTGACCCTACAATAATGCAGTGCTGAAAGACCCTACAATAACCCAGTGCTGAAAGACCCTACAATAACACAGCACTGGGTGACCCTACAATAACCCAGTGCTAGGAGACCCTACAATAACATGGTGCCAGGAGACCCTACAATAACCCAGTGCTGGGAGACCCTACAATAACCCAGTGCTGGGAGACCCTACAATAACCCAGTGCTGAAAGATCCTACAATAACACAGCACTGGGTGACCCTACAATAACCCAGTGCCAAGAGACCCCACAATAACACAGCACTGGGTGACCCTACAATAACCCAGTGCTGGGAGACCCTACAATAATGCAGTGCTGAAAGACCCTACAATAACCTGGTGTCAAGAGACCATACAATAACCCAGTGCTGAAAGACCCTACAATAACCCAGTGCTGGGAGACCCTACAATAACATGGTGCCAGGGTTCATACAATAACCCAGCACCTACAGACCCCATAACACCACGAGACCCTACAATAACACAGCACTGGGTGACCCTACAACGACACAGTGCCCTAAAACCTGTGTTATCTCAGCCCCTACAATAACACGAACCCAGCAGACCCCACAATAACAGCAGGACCCCACAGCAGCTCAGTGCCATCCGCTCTATGGGGCCGTTGGGGCCGTTTCCTCCCATTTCCCCCCCCTCCTCCCCACCCCCCCTTGTTCCTGGAGGGGCCGAACCGCAGAGTTTTGGGGCCGTTATCAGCCCTACCGGCCCTGATGGCAGCTGGCCAGGGATGGTGTGCTGTGCCCAGCCCGAAGCCTGTCCCAAATGTGTCCCAAACCTTCCCAGATCCTGCCCCAATCCTGCCCCAAGCCTGCCCAGATCCTGCCCCAATCCTGCTCCAGATCAGCTCAGATACTGCTCCAAACCTGCCCCAAACCTGCCCCAACCCTGCCCAGATCCTGCCCCAAACCTGCTCCAGATCAGCTTAGATCCTGCTCCAAACCTGCCCCAAA